CACTGCTGCCTCACAGTGCCAGGGACGCGGGTTTGATTCCAGCCTTGGGTGACTGTCTGTGTGAAGTTTACATGTTCTCCTTGTGTCTGTGTGGGTTTCCTCCAGGTGCTGTGGTTTCCTCCCACAGTCCAAAGATGTGCAGGTTAGGTGGTTTGGCCATGCTGAATCATCCCATAGTGTCCAGGTTGGCCAGGGGAAATGCAGGGTTACAACAACAGGATAAGGTGGTGGGTCTGGGTGAGATGCTCTTTGGAGGGTCAGTGTGGACATGATGGGCCAAATGGCCTGCTTCCACACTGTAGGGACAAGTTACAAGGTACAATGTACCTTCTAGGTACAAGGTGTCCCCAACCAGTGAGCAGGTAGCACAGAGAGCAGGGAAGTTTAGAGGTTTGGGAGGATAAAAGGAATGAGTGGACATGATGTATGCAATAGTAAGTGTTGTAGTTTGTGAGCCTTGGTCAGATGCATATGATCTGGTGAGTTGGGGTAAGTGATCACCCCCTGACTGGGTGGTAACAGTGAGAAGTTGGTGGCTCTCACTTTTGAACAGTACAGAAGATCATCGACTTCCTTCCAACACTGCTGGCCATTCCTGTTAACTCAGGATGCAGGACTGACCCGACTACAATTTGTGCCCAGGCTGGTTGTTTCTGGTGGCACTACCAGCTGGAGTAAGGACTGTCCACCTTTGATGAACCTATCCACCAACTCTTCCAGAATTCTGTCCACAAAACAATCCTGTCCACCATGTTCAGTATGGAGCAGCACAGTGTGAGCAGCACTTCCTCAATTTGAAGTGGTGTACAGCTGCCCTTAAAATACGGTGCCAGAGACTTGAACACTGGAAGATCACAGCAGAATGAGCACTTTCGCCTCTCCAGCTGAGTGATGCCATGGGAAAGGTTCTTACGAGCCCCGTCACACAGCTAATAAAGTGACAAGCAGAAGATTGTGTGAGAAAAGACTCTGAGAGATGGTGGACAGAGCATCAGGCATCTCGACAGAACACTTTAACTGGAAATAAAAAAATTCTGCCCCTCGTTTCAAACCGTTTCCCAATCTTTAAAAGCATGTTGAAAATGAACAGAACCAGCAGCTAGTCAGATAGTTAGCATTAGCCCGTGGAACAGGAAGAAAGGAAATTCTGACCACAAAGAATATAAACCAAAGTGACAAAGTGCTTTGAGTGCTTTTAACATACAAAGCCTTCACTGTGATTTGAAACTTGTGGTCGTGCTTAAAAACCTTGGGACAGCTTTGTTGAGAAACTGAACATCTGCATTTGCAATCCCTGCAACGGCCGCACTCCCAGGCCTCATTGTACGAACATAACGACCTGCAACTCTCATGGGGATCAGCAACAGCAGCAACAGACAGCGAGAAACAGCAAGATCAAGCTAGCAGCAGGTGACCGCCCTGCGTTGTCTTTGTCAATTGTGGGCAATGAGGAGGGAGGAGTGGTGAGCGGAGAGGTATGGGAGCTAACAGCTATTTTCTTTCCTGTGCTGTGCTGGCAAGTGTCACTTCAGCTTTGATAACCCAGGCACTCTTACACTGTCTGAGTGCGGCCAACTGTAAACGTGCAGATCTGCAGGGTGACTAAGCCTGGATTCCAGGAACCGACAGTCAAGAGGAAAATATTGATCTGCAGTTGGCTTATAGAAACCAGTTTGAGCAATTTAAATGGGGGGTCAGTCCCAGATGTTTGCCTTCACATCTCAATATGAATAGAGTGCAACACAGAAGATTGGTTCCTCAATCAAGTTGTGAATTCAAAGGACTGCACACAGATGTCACCCTCCTGAACTGGATAGCTTAGAGCATAGGTATTAAAAAATACCTTGTGTATGTCTGAATTATAGCTTTTATGCAGCATCTTTAACTGAGTGTAATACACCCTAAAGAACTTCGCAGAGGCATAATCTGAATATGAATTCTGAGACAGTAACAGGGGTGACCAAAAGCATAATCAAAGCGGTAAACTTTAAGGGAAGCATTACAAAACATGAGGGAGGTGGAGGGAAGAAAGGATGGAGAGTGGCATCAAGGTGGCTGAAGACACAGTTTCAGTTCTGCAGCAATGAAAAGCAGGGATTCACAACTCGCTAGTGTTAGAAGATTTAAGATATCGATGGGGTCGTGTATAGAATGGAAGATTTGGCAGGGACCGTGAGAAGAATGTCCATGAAAGGAATTAAAAATGAAGGTGAAGTAGAGGGGTGTGAGGAGCTCATGTAGGTCAGTGAGAACAAGGATGTTGGGTGAGCAGACCAAAAAAGATCGGATGAACTGAAACTCACGCTGAACAGAATTAAAGTGGCAATATATTTATAAGGGTCGAGGCCCGAAACGTCAGCCTCTCTGCTCCTATGATGCTGCTTGGCCTGCTGTGTTCATCCAGCCCTGCACCTTGTTGTCTCGGATTCTCCAGCATCTGCAGTTCCTACTATCTCTGATATATTTATATAGTCAGCTTTGGAGGAGGCAACAGCATGGATATTAATATCGTTGGCAGGTAAGCCAAGCCACGACTTAAAGTTAAACTTATACAGCACAGACAATGGTGAAGATTTGTGAGAAGCTAAAGGATTGGGAAGCCTTTAATAACCAGCAGAGGAAAAAAGGCAGAGAAAATGAAATATGAGGGTAAGCTAGCGAGTGATACAAAAGAAGACTGCAAGAATTTTTTAAAAATGTATAAAAGGTAATCTGTAGGCAAGAGTGGACATTGGACCACTGGGAAATGAGGCTAGAGAAGTAGCAACGGATAACAAAGAACTGAGTGGGTACTTTGCATAATGGAAGACACCAGCAGCACACCAGAGCTTGAAGAGAGTTGGAGACAGAGGTGAGTGTCAGGGCCATCACTAAGGAGAAGCTGCTGGGGAAGCTGAAAGATCTGAAGGTGGATAAATCACCCAGACCAGATAGATTACACCCCACAGTTCTGAAGGAGACAGCTGAGGAGATTGGGGAGGCATTTGTTGTGATCTTTCAGGAATCACCAGAGGCAGGGAGGATCCCAGAGGACTGGAAAATATCTAATATAACACCCCAGTTTAAGAATGGAGGGAGGCAGAAAATGAAAAATTATCAGCCGGTTAGCCTGACATCAGTTCTTCAGAAGATTCCCAAGTCCATTATTAAAGATGAGGTTGCAGAATATTTGAAAGAGCCTGGTAAAAATAGGCTGAGTCAACACAGCTTTGTCAAGAGGAGATCATGCCTGACAAATCTGTCAGAATGCTTTAAGGGAGTAGTTAGCAAGTTGGACAAAGTAGAGCAAATGATGTGATCTGAGTTTCCAGAAGGCCATTGACAAGGTGCCATACAGGAAGCTGTTAAATAAGAGCCTGGGGTCTGAGAGGCAGGAACTGGCAAGGGTAGGTGATTGTCTGACTGGCAGAAGGCAGAGAGTGGGAATAAAAGGGTCTTTTTCAGGATGGCAGCTGGTGACTAGTGGAGTTCCATAGAGCTCAGTGTTGGGACCACAACTATTCAGGTTAAACATTAACAATCTGGACGAAGGAACCGTGGGTACAGTTTGTAGATAACACAAAGATAGGTGGAGGAACAGGTAGTGTTGAGGAAATGGGGAAGCTGCAGAAGGACTTGGACAGGCTAAGAGAGTGGACAAAGAAGTGGCAGATTGAATACAATGTGGGAAGGTGCAAGCTTATGCACTTTGGTAGGACAAATAGAGGTGTAGACTATTTTCTAAATGGGGAAAGGCTTTGGAAATCTGAAGTACAAAGGGACTTGGGAGTCCTGGTTCAGGATTCTTTGATGTTAACATGCAGGTTCTTGTTGCAGTTAGGAAGGCAAATGTGATGTTAGCATTCATTTCAAAAGGGCTGGAGTATAAGAGCAGAGATGTATTGCTGAAGCTATATAAGGCTCTGGTCCAACCACATTTGGAATATTGTGAGCAGTTTTGGGTGCTATATCTAAGGAAGGATGTGCTGGTTTTGGAGGGTCCAGAGGAAGTTTACAAGAATGATCCAGGATTGTCAAGGTCTTGTAATATGAGAAGCAGTTGAGGATTCTAGGTCTGTATTCAACAGAGTTTAGAAGGATGAAGGGGGAATCTTATTGAAACGTACAGAATGCTGAGAGGCCTGGTTCAAGTGGACATGGAGAAGACATTTATGATAGTAGGAGAAACTAGGACCTGAGGGCATAGCCTTTCGAACAGCTCTTTAGAGCTGAAATGAAGAGTAATTTCTTAAGCCAGAGGGTGGTGAATCTGTGGAACCCATTGCCTCAGAGGCTGCAGAGGCCAAATCATTGAGGGTTTTTAAGAAAGAAGTTCTTGATTAGTAAGGGGATCAAGGGTTACAGGTTGAAGGCAGGAGAATTGTTTTGAGGAACATATGAGCCATGATCAAATGGCAGAGCAGACATTATGGGCCAAATGGCCTAATTCTGCTCCTTTATCTTATGACCTGGATTTTGCATTCAGTTGTGAATGAACAGTGCTTACCATATTATAAACAGAAAGTTACAACCTGGTTCTCTGTGAGCTTTGCACTGTGATTTGTGTGTATTGAAGAGATAAAACATCATCGGACCCTCCACTGGCCATCTCAGACCAGTTTGAGCTGAGCAAGCAATGACCTGTCTCTTTAACAAAGAAGATGAAGAAAGACACACAGATGCTGCAATATTCAAATATACAATTTCCAATTTCTCCCTGTATTTGTGTTGCCTCCGGAATGATATCTACAATGCACAATACTTTTGCTGTTCCTGCATTGTGCTACTGTAATGAAAGCATTGGCACACACACTCATACAGACATGAACACACAAACAGAGAAGAAATGCAATAAGTTTACAGTGTAGACAGATTGCAACACTGATCCAGATGTATGGCACTACTATAGATGTTTTGTAATTCAAAGATTCAGGTAACATTTTGTCTGAATCTCACACAGCTGACCATGTGTCGAATCCAATCTACTTATTTCTTTCTAACCTTTTTTATGTTTTCACCAGGTGAAGATGTTGAAGAATTACATCACGGATGCAACTAAACCAATCTTGTTGAACCCGAGCAAATGAAGTTGTCATCAGGTAAATATCTACCAGGAAAACGGCTCTGAAGCATGGGAAATTTTCCCTGTAAATGGGACAGACTGTGTAGACAATTGGGTCAACAAGTGTAAGAACTTGTTACTGGTTATTACTGGCTATGACCATGGTTTGTAAACTTATGTGTATATAACATATGCTATTGTTTATTTGCATATTTAATATTGGCTTTATCTATCTGTTCTGTCTTCTATCTATTCACCGTCTTCTATATTTTACCCCAGAAGCAATTCTGTCAAAGTTCACAGTTACATAAATATAGTGACCCATGGTGATGAAGATAGAAGCTTCAAAATGTTCAGAAAATGCACCAAATATTTTTAAAATATCCCCTTCCCTGATCCCCAACTGGAGCCCTGATTTGCAACAATGCAAGATGAATAAAAAATCATGATCTGCACAGTAATCATTACAGATAAGCAATTGTCAAGTGGTGAATGGCAAAAAGTAAACTGTACAGCCATTCCCGAGACGATACCAATGAAATCAAAATGTTTATTCCTTTCCCCGATGCATTCATCTTTCCTCTGATTAAATGGAAATCAGTTTATAGAAGTAAGGGAAAAAAGAACAAGAATTTAGTTGCTAACCAGCCCATATATTTTCCTTGAATTTAAATTGGCAAGTATATTAAGCCAAGCTGGTATATTGTAGAATTGTTTATTTTTGTTATTTGTTCATAGGATGATAGGGTCACTGGTTAAGGCAGCATTTTTGGGTCCATCCCCAGTTACCAGACCCAGCACATTGCTATGGGTTTGGAGTCACATGTAGGCCAGATCAGTTAAGGATGGCAGATTTTCCTCCTGAAAAACATTAGTGGTCCAAATGGGTTGTTATGACAATGACCTGTGGTTAAATGGTTTACATTAGGCCAGCTTTTTATAGAATTCAAATTTCACCATCTGTCATGGTAGGATTCAAACCCATGACCCCAAAACATTAGAGGTTCTGTATTACTGGTCCACTGGCATGCCCACTTCACCACCACTGGCTCACTGACAGGTAGAAGCAGGAGCTGGAAGCCACTGGCTAAGTCACTTTCCATCATAGTGGAAATCAAAAATGAGCAAAGGGGAAGAAAATGTCTATGATCATAGTCGGAGTGAGTAGGGTAAGTGTCGAGCTGTGAGCGAGGGGGCTACAGGACCCACCAAAGTGAGGGCACTTAAAGAGAAAGCACATCACACACCGATCCGTACACGGTCCAGAACACAAACCAGCAGTGTCCCTCATCCTTAGATATCCTCATACAGTGTCCCCCGTTTGCTACACACCTCCCTGATGCAGACATCACCAGCATCAACACTTTTGGACGTAGAGACTCAGGAAAGAATAAAGTTGTTGTACGACAATGGGCAATCGTGTCAGCAGCACCCACTGGTCCCTGTATACCTTGATCCTATTGCTTCTAGATACTACAGCAAACTCTCGCCACAGCCATCAATCCATGGTACATTTTGTGTAGCCATGAAGTGATGCCTCGTGCTGGAACAATGACCTTCAGGGCTAAACAGAGAGACCAAAAACAGACTTATTGTCATAGCAGAGCTATTTATTTAAAAAGTGCCAAATAATGTACAATGCATTGCCACCCATGCCATTCAAGTGGCCTCAAAGTGATGTTTTCTTCCATTCCTTCCAACTGCACCCTAAGGATACTCCCTAGTTCTGTAGAAGGGATACAGGGAGCCTGCACAGCAGTGGAGCCCATTGACCTGAAAGGTTTGATTCAATGCTCCTGGGGGCTGCTTTTGTCTAGACGGGGTCAGGCATGCCAAGGGTCTTATTGCAGCAAGCAAGTGGATCCTTCTCAACGTGACTTCCAAGTGTCGGAGAGGGATAGGCAGGATGGAGGTGAAGGGCTCAGCCACCTCTCGAGTGTCCTGAGGGGGCGGCATATGGTTCCTCCTCCAACTGGGTACCTCCTGGCACTGCCCTGTCTCCTGGTGAGGAAAGGAGTACTCGCTAATCTCTTTCCCTCTGTCACCATGCCTTTGCTCCTGAGGGTCAATGGCTGCGACACTGGCATGTAGGTGTGTGTACCACTCCAGCAGACTCTGACAGAGCTGCGCCTAGCTGTCCATGACAACCGCCAACCTGTCCATGAAGACAGATGATCACATGACTCGCTGTCCTGCTGCAGCTTCTGGGCAATGAGGGCCTTTCTGTCCCACATCTCTGTCTGCTGCTGCTGTTCCTCCCTGTGCCTGTGGGTGAAATCCCTGATCACAGACACCACAGGGGCCCCTCCTGTCTGGGGCTGAGAAAGTGCCTGGTCTCTGACAGTCTTCCATGTGGTGTGAACATTTGATCTTTTACTTATAAATTCTGTGTCAGATACTATCTCTCTGACCTGAAGAAGGACTGAGGCTCCGAAAGAATGTGTTTTCAAATAAACCTGTTGGACTATAACCTGTTTCTCACAGAGTCTTCCCAGTGTTAACAATTAAGGCGTTTCTTTCTCAGCCACCTGCAGAGATATGGGGTACACAAGAACAATAAAATTAATAGTGGGAGTAGGCAATTAAATCCTTTAAGCCCGCTCTGGCATTTAACATGTGCATGGCTGATCTTATTCTGGCCTCTAACACTTGCTTTCCATAGTCCGATATCCTACTTTTCATCAGAAACGTATCTATTTCTTTCTTGAATTAGTTGATCGATTCTGCCTCTACTGCACTCTGAGGCAGTGAGTTCCACAGATTCACAACCCTCTGAGAGAAGTAGTTTCTCCTCATTTCAGATGTGAACCTACCTCCTCTCACTCTATATCTATGACTTCTTGTTCGAGACTGTCCCACAAGGGGGATCATCTGTTCCATGTCCACCTTATCAATTCCCTTTAGCATTTTATGTAACTCAATCAGAATGTAGAATCATAGAATCCCTACAGGCCATTCAGCCCATCAAGTCCACACCGACCGTCCAAAAGACCATCCAACCCATTCTCACCCCCTACCCTATCCCTGTAATGCTGCATTTCCCATGGCTAACCCATCTAACCTGTACATCAAACAAAATGTTTGCAACCAAACCCATCAGCTCAGTGAGCATGTCTACAATCTCATCCACAACCTGAGCTACATATCTTCTCGAAAACTTTAAACATTTTTGGACTGTGGGAGGAAACCAGAAGAAACCCATACAGACGCAGGGAGACCAGTTGCCCAAGGATGGAATTGGTGCTGTAAGGCAGCAGTGCCAACTGCTGAGCCATCGTGCCATTCAATCCGCCCTTGTTCTTCTGAACTCCAGCAAGTAAAAGCCCAAGCTATTCAACCGCTCCTTGTACAATAACCCTTTCATCCCTGAAATCAATCTGGTGAACCTTCTCTGAACTACTCACAAGTTTGCGCTCTCAAATTTTCTAAGGCTGACATTCCCACCAGTGTGTCAGTGTCTGAGATAATTGGGGGATAGAAGATGCAGCGGTCCCCATATTCTTGTCCTCAAAGTCAAAGCGGTTCCATCAGGAGGTGCTGGCATTTCACTGCAGAGCTGATGAAAATGCTGGCAATACCTGCTGGTCAAAAGAAAGAGAAGGCCACAAGGCCAGTGGTTAGAAGTGGTGAGTAACGAATGATACAGACAGTGGGGTTACTGTGAGATTTTCCAGTGAAATGAAGCACAGTACTTACTTGATTGGCAAGTCATGAATGACTTAGCATCTTACAGGAGTGGTCCCAAGGACCTGGGCCAGGGTTCTCTCCTCAAAGATAGTGAGGACCCGAATGTCAGGTACCTCTCCAGTTGCATCGGCTTTCTCTGCCCTGTTATAGGTTGTATTCTCCTGTAATGAGAGAAAGGAGGGATTGAGTGAGATGAAATTGGCCGACACTGCTGTTAGTGCTGGTGCCAGTGGGCAGAAGGTGGTAAAGTCATCCCAGGTAATGAGTAGGCAGCGCAGAGGGCATGCAAGTCTACTGTTTTGGGAGATGTCACAGAGGCAGAGTAGGTATTTGATGAGGCAGCTCTGAAAAGATACAATGAAAGGACTTGCACATCCCCACGGACAAAGTTTCTTCACAAAACTCAATACAACCCACACTTAGTCAAAAAATGTAAGGTACAGTCCCTAGTTCTAGTCTCTCCTATAGATCTCTCCCATACCCTCTAAGTATCCATCTTGGCAAATAACCTGTCATTCTTCTAACCAGGCCTAATCTATCCAATCTTTTCTTATTAAATAATCCATTCATCAAAGGAATCTGTTAACTGAATCCTCTTTGCACTGTTTCTAATGCAATTGTATCCCTTATTGAGGAAGCAAACCAAACTTTAGAACTAGAATTAGAATTAGATTTTATTGTTATGTGTATTCAAGTATAGGAATACATGAGTACAGTGAAAAGTGTACATAGTCCCCCTTCTCTATCACCATTTTGATTACAAAGCCAGAACCTCAAAAAAAAACAGCAGAAATAAACAAAAAGTAAAAGGTAAGAAAAACGTCTAGATCTCAAAGTCTAAGTCTTACCTCCATAAAGGTTTTTGGAACCACTGATACAGGCACCCAGGCCTAGCCACGGCTTGAAGTCTTGGTCAGTCTGTAAGTCTCACATCGATCGCCAGGAGGGACTGCGTTCTTGCTGCCGCTGTCACTACCACCACCTCCTCCAATCACAGGAGGAGCTTTGCCATCACAGCCAGCCCCGAATACTGGGAGGATGTCCTTGCTACCGCCTCCAATTGCCGAGAGGAGCCATGTCTGCTGCTGCTGCTCAAACCGCCAGGAGGCTGCCACCATTCTGCGCATGACTTGCTCTTGCTGCTGTGCCAATTCTGCCGATTAACCTGCCGCAAATGGCTTGAAAGAAAAGAAAAATGAGAAGAAAAAAATGAAAGAAGAAAAAGAAAAAGAAAAATAGCAAGAGTTAAAAGAAAGAAAACCGATGCGAGTGGACAAGCCCCCAGGCTCAGGAGCCTGCACACAGTCTGCTACTCTGCCGCCATCTTGTTAGGTGATGATGACAGATCTCTAGATGTGGTCTCACCAATGCCCTGTTCAGTTCAAGCAACACTTCCCTACTTTTATGTTACAGTCCCCTCGAAATAAATGAAAAGATTCCATTACCATCCTAATCACTTGCTATATGTACAAACGAACATTTGTGATTCATGTATCCAACAATATAAATGAATAAGTATGTCTATGAAGCTATAGAATATGAAGCATTAATTCAGCCTCAACTGGAGCATCATGCTCAGTTTGGGATACCACACATGGAAGGATGTGAAAGCTTTAGAAAGAACAAAGAAAAGATTCATGAGAATGGTACCAGAAATGAGGAGCAGATAGACTGGAGAAACTGGGACTGTTCTCCTTAGAGAAGATAGGGAGGAGATTTGATAGAGGTGTTTAAAATTATGAGAGGTCTGGGCAGCGTTAAGAGGGAAGATCTATTCCTGCTGGTCACACTTTCAAGAAGTGTAAGACACAGATCTAAACTGAATGGCAAACTAACCAAAGGCAACATATTGTAAAACACTTTTGCATAGCAAGTGGTTAGGATCTGGTATGCATTAACTGAATGTCTGGTAAGATTCAGTCATGACTTTCAAAAGGGAATTTAATAATTATCTGAAATGAAACAATTTGTAGGACGATGGAGAAGGATATGGATCTAGCAGCATCGCTTTTTCACAGAACTAGTACTAACTTAATAGGCAGACTGGCTTCCTCTGTGCTGTAACTATTCTCTGATTCAAATACCGTGGTTCCATAGTATGGAATTCTCTAAACCTTCTGCTGGCCTCCCCCTTTATTATCCTCTGTAAAACCTATGCCATTAACAAAGCTTTAGCTCACTCTGCCTACTGTGTCTTTGGGTCAGTCTCTATTTTTGTATTGTTACACTTCTGTGAAAGGTATCAAGATACTTTCCATGTTAAAGGCACTATGCAAATGCAAGGTATTGTTATTCTTCCTACACTGATTCGAAATTGGTTTAGAATTAGATCTAGTGTATCATAAAGTGTAAGCTTTGCATTGACTTTTTTTAATAAATTGATAATTCTGCTTCCAAAACAGGCTCTGCACGATAACCAAACAAAATTACATTTATTTTTCCCTCCTCACACCCCAGTGTGGTTATAAAGCTGGAGCTTAACAAAAGGTTTAGTTCATGAAGCAGAGAAACCAAACTAACCAAGCACAGCTGAAAAGTATTCACTCTGCTATACAATCAGCTCTGATTCTTTGTTCCATTGTAGCTTTTCAGAGCAGTTTGTGATGAAGATGGAGGTGGAGGTGGGGAAATGTGGGGGAACTAAGTAAAACAGTGAAGCCCTGGCAGATGGTGCTCAGTGTTTGGCTCCTGCTGAGCTCAGCAGGGCCTACAGCTTAGAGGGTTCAGACCATCAAAAGGACTTCTGCTATTGGGGGAATCGCAATGTCGACAATCCGTCTGCCACATATCATTTTCTTAGCTTTTCTTCATTTGTATTAAATACAACTTACGATCTGTTTCTGTAGCCTGCACACAGGACTGCCCTGCAAAGAGTTTACTACTGCTGCAAGATGGAATGGATAGAGCTGGAGATGTTACACAGGTAAGCAAGCTAAGAAAAGGCTAGGCTTAGATCCAGAGATTAGCAGCACCCTGCTGACAAAAACATTTCCAATGAAAACAATTAGTTAATTGTTGATGAGCCCGACCCCTCATGTGAATAACTCTGATCTATTCCATGCATTGAGTATAACAAAGAAACTGTCATCAAAAGTTCAATTATATTCATTATGTAAAGATTGTTATAATGTCATCATGTTATAATTTTTCTGTCTTGATTGAGAGATGGTATAAACAAGAGTTATATCAGAAATCAGGCAATGGGATAATATAATTTTCAACTGCTAAGTGTTGGTGTTGGTGAAGAGAGAGTTCAAGTTTCTGTTTCCTCACAGCGTAGAGCTGTGATAATTTATCTATGTGAAAGTAATAAAGAAATTAATATTGAAGCCAACTTTGTCATTGCACATTTTAATAAGTCATAGTAGCTCGTTTCTTCTTATAAGTAGGTGAATCAATCAAATCATAGCCAACATTCAATAAAAAGTGCAAAGTGTGCTATTCAAGTACACTCCAAAGTATAAAACAATTCAATAAAATTTTGTGGAAATAACATGAAAAGATCACAACCTAACTTTGGAATGATTCAAAAAAATCACATTATGCAATTCACCATTTTTTTTACATTAAGGGTAAACTGCATTACCAAAAAAGCATTTCTGAAATGCTTTCATTGCTTATATGCTCTTGATATTTATGAATACAAAATTAAAGTTTCTTCTGGAAGATTTTCGCTATGCAGCAAATTTGTAAATGTGTAAAAGGTTTATAATTTCATTGCACTCCCAGAGGACTTCTTCACCTGAGTAGTTTGGCCATATCCCAAACAGAGATCAAAAGGTACAGTGTATTTATTCCTGTGAGTGAATGGGCTTATAAATGTAACAATCATTACGTGTTTTAAAATGTAGCATCATTTATGTGAAAATAAATTGTCCTTCTTCTAACTTAACATATGAGAGCTCATTTGCTTCAGAACAAACTTTACTGCAATAATGCTGACCAGAAATAAGGATGCGATAAGGTTTAGAATGTTCAGTTTAAACTAATATATTTTGCTTAACCTGAAGCTGAATTCCACAAGTATAATGCTTTATTTATGTAAGGGCAAGTGGCAGATACTGCAAAAGGCTATGCATGCTACTTTGCATATAGTGTATGGAGGGATAATATGGTGGAAATAAATTTAAAAAGTTGTTCAAATATTGGTACCAAGAAACAATTCTATATGGGAATAAGTGAAATTGTTTAAAGCATGGCATGTTTTACAGCTGGTAGCTATAATCATAGACTGAAATAATGTTGGTCAGAGCGACGCCTGATTTTAAGTACTGTTCAGAAATGATTGCCTGTTAAAAAGAATTAAAACTGATGAAGGAAATTTCTCTTCAGTCCACTGCACCTTTTGCAGTCCTTAAGAAATGTCAATTAGCTGCAGCTGGACACTAAACACCACACAGGAGTCTTGCTGTCTCCTTTATTTTTCATCCAAACAGCATAATAAGATTTACACAATCCATTTTTATAAAACAAATGTGTTAATCTTTCAATTTGTTGCAGCATCTGAAAGTCCAAGGGTCGTGACCTTATTTTAAAGGAACAGCTCCCAAGGGTCTAAGGGTTCACCAGAAAGACCCTGCAACAATGAGACACGTGCTGGTTAACTGTCATCAGGAAAGCAGTTACGGTTGACCAGTGGGGGTCTGTTATCCTGGAGAGGCTTTGTGAAGAAAAGACACGTGCCAGCTGTCAGTGAGAATCTATTGTGGTAGGTTAGCATGAGCCAGCAGTCCACAGGACCTGGGTTACATTGTGAGGCTTAATAAGGAGAGTAATTACTTCTCCATAATAAATCCCCATAATCCAGATATGTACGTAAATGGATGGCAGAGCATGTCAAACCATGTACAGATGACATTTACCATGCTGTTAAAACATTAGCTTCATGTTTTGCTCCAGCTGTGAAAAATGTCTATAAAGGGTGGAAAATTACGTCTTGTATTAGCATTCCTTATTTGTTTACCTTGTGAAAGCGGAAGGAAAATGATTGAATGGAGGAGATGAACATTCCTGCAAGTGATTTCTTTGATGTTCGATGTGGTTTAAATTAAGTATTTGACATCATTGTTTCTTTTATAACAAGAGGGTGGATCTGCTCATTTTGTTTCAAACCCAGGAAAAGAGTTACGTAGAAAATAGTCAGCAATAATGAAGGTTGGCACAGATCTATCATTTATACAATATTTGTACAAAATAAGCAAGTAAATAAGAAACCTTAGATGCTGAAATTCTGGGAAGTCAGCTGAATCAGCAAGAATGTGGTGGAGCAGGGCTTCTACTGACTATCATCCATTCGCAAATGCAGCATCTAAATCATAAGAATGCAATTACTATGCATTGTAGAATGCAGCCTGAACTCGTAAGAATATGTCAAAGGTGCCAGTGCCTTAACCCAATTAAGTTCTTAGATTAACCGCTGCATTTACTTGAAGTGGCATATGGTCTAGAAAACAGGATCTAGTAAATTAACAATATATGTTTAGTTTATAGTGGAAAAGAGTTACTTGTCTGTGTTTGCTTTGGAAATATTAGTTAAAGAAATTTTTAAAAAATATGTATTTCTACATCACTTTATTAAATGCTTCAGAAATGTTCTTAAGAACTTCCTGAATTCCTTTTAAATACAGGCCTTGTTGGTATGCAGATAAACATCACTGACATTGTGAACACAAGTTTCTGAAAACAGCTATGGAATGAACAATGAGGTAATCTGTTTTTGGTGAGTTTGATCCGGGAGGAGAATTTTGAATATAATGCACTGGAGTCTTCAGGACACATTTGAATCTCTATGCTTTGTATCTAGATCTGATGTGCAACTGTCCCCCAGTCCCACATGGTTCTAACAGCATAGTTAGTGTCACAACCTTTTGGTTACAGAGCAATGTTGGAACTAGCTGTAATGTGTTAACTCAGTTGCTATGGTGGAGCAGTGTCTATTGCCAATCTACCACTGCAAGAATGTTATTGGTAGCAGGGCAAACATTGGGTAGCTTTCCCAATGTTGACCATATTGAGTGTTTTTTAGTGACCAAGTAATGGTATTTTACCAGTGGAAGGAAGTGTCCACATCCAGTGCCAATTGGAGCCCTACTTCTGGTAATATCCCCTCCATTTGTTACCCCTTCCACCTCACTGAACCTAGGCCTCTCCAGGACCTGCCAGCCTGGCCGTGGTGATTGTCTGGGCTTATTTGTGTGCTTGGCAACATGGTTCCTGTATGACGGGACTGTCTATAATCCCATTAGTGTCCACTCCTCCCATTTGCCATCACTGGGACTCCAGCCATTTGATGGCTAGCAGATTTTGGAAGCTGGGTCCTCCTCCTAGATGGGCCTGAGCCAATCAATGGCTCAATGGCTAGTAAATAACTACAGGCTATTCAGCTAAACGGAGACAGACTTAACCCTAATTCCCTACCATGAAAGAAGGTACATGTTCTTAGAAGAAATTTTAACAATACGCAAATGTGCCAATGATTGAAAGGATGTTAATAAAATGTAACAAACTTGAATGTGTTGATTGCTTCCAGAATGTAATTTAATGACATAATTTTGATTCTTGCAATAAGGAAAAGAATGTGTTGTGATGTCTAACCAATGGATAGCTGCAGACTAGATAATCTCTGCAGGCAACTGTGAAGTATTGTCACAATCTCACAATAGTCTACAGAGACTCTGTAGTCTGTTGTCTCTACTAACAGCTTCTTAACAAGAATAACCTTATTAAACTATTGATTTAATACCACATAGGTAATATTATTCTTTCAAAAGCAAAATGGGAGAGTGTTTATTATCCAGTATAAAAGACCTAATGTATTCACAGAAACATACAGATTTGAGATCTGTAATTTTGTAGATTCCAATTTCAAGATTCGATTTTAATTATGGGGAAAACTAGGCATTTCATCCCTGTGTTTAAATTTGAAGACTTACATCATGTTCCGACAGTAATGCTGTGAATTGACGCAAGATGCTGCACAAGGTAAATCTGAGTAAAATGGGATCAAATAGTTTGTTTCAGATGCATGCAATAGTAATCCATTATATTTCAATGCCATGTCTAAGGTACTTCATTGAAAAGTTTATAACATTTACTTGTTTAGCGTATGTAATTAAAACATAAAAGAAAATGTTCACTGATACTGGTAGACTTTGAAACATATGAAAACATAACCCAGGATGACTGCTGTAAGTTTCTGTACTATACTGAATGCATAGACATGTAATTTTCAGTGGTGCTACCTAACCAACCTAAAACTTATTGTTCAATCATTATTTTTTAAACTAAGTGCACCTATCTTCCCTTCACTATCATGCGGAATAGCCTAAAACATGGAATTCCAAAATCTGCTTGGTAATATTCTACATTGAAGCCTATAAGTTAAATTCCAAGAATTTGGAGTAAACCGTGGGAAGGGATAAGAAATAGTCTGAAAGTAGAAATCAAGATGTGGATGTTAGAAGAGTTATATTATTGATGAGTGAAAATACTCAGTGGATTGGACCAAGATTCAATGATTGTATGATCACTATTCCTAATTTATATTATCCTTGGATTCAGAAACTCCACCATTGCAAACTGATTAAATTCATACAGATACCAACTTAATTGAATCGAATGATTTGTTGTCACTTAACAAATAAATACAGTGATTAGTGTAAGATTTCACCACATTCCAGCACCATTTTGAGATACAGAAGATAATAAGATATTACTAGAATATAACTAAAAACAGGGTTCTCCCTTCCTTCTTGTCCTTCTTTCGACATGGGAATGTTGGGGGCCTTCATAATGGGCATCATGCCCTCCACTGTCCCCTCATGACAGTCTTTTCAGGAGTCCCTCTCCAGGCCTACCACTCCACCACTGCTGCTCCCATCGATCCACCAGGAGTACCGATTCTGGCCAACTGCATTGCCTCAGCTGACCGACGCTGCCTTCTCCACCAACCACAGAGGCTGCCATGCTGTCGCCGACATCTTGAAAGCTGGTGCCACCACTACCTCCTTGAGTCCTGTGCTGGGCCCACCAATGCCGAAATTGCCATGCTCTGGTGCCACCTCTCACCGCTGGGCCCACACTGACTACCTTCACGAGCGCACCGAGGGCTTGCTCTCCTCCGCCCTGGCTCGCTTTCACCGAGGAGCTGACTCTTGCCACCCATGCCGCACATGCCTGGGAGGCCAGGCCCGTTCTTGCCCTGCCGAAGATGCCAAAAGGGCATCCGAAAAGAAAAGAAAGACAGCAAAAGAAAAGAGCAAAAGCAAAATGCAAAAGTAAGAAGAAAAATAACAAAGAAATCAGATGGAAGCGGACGAGCCTTGGACCAGGAGCTCAGACATAGCGCCACTACTCCACCGCCATCTTGGACTTCAGGAAATTCAGGAAAGAAAGAAAAAATTCAACAAGCAACTCAAATTCCAAATGGGCATCCAAGATGGTTGAATAATGGCCAATAAAAATTACCACAGGAAAGTGTTAATTGTTGCATATAACTGGCATGGCTGGCACTTCTTCAGCTACATTCCCCTACATTTTCCTGTTGGCTCTGAGGTCCATGTGCAGCAGTGGTTTCTGGAACTGTAAGTCAATGGATCCACATATCAATTGGCATAAAAAAACTTTGGGTAGCTGTGCAGTTGTGCAACTCACACATGCAACCCCATTCGCTCACCGTAGTCATTGTTTAACTTCCAGGCCATGTCCTTTGGTACATCTCGTCTAGTCACTGTTTCTCTGCCCTTGACCCCAATGCTCATTGCATTGTTACTGACACAGTAGGGGAATATCACATACAGGCAAGCAATCAAACAACTGCAAGATGCGTTTTTAATTATAGCCAGCAAAAGTAAGTGTAAACAAAACAATTGGAGGCTGCAGTTGCCCCCATTATGCAAATCAAATGCTGGCATGATGATGAACACTATTTTACATTCCATGATTGTCTGCTGCACCCAGCTCCCATCAACTGAAACTGGGTGTCTATCAGGTACTATCCGGCTTATAGCACCCGATGTGACTGAGCTCTATCATACACAAAGTGTGTTACCTCTTCCCTGATGTCCTCTCTCTTCTCCTCTGAACACTGCTCCCATTTCTCCAGTTCTTCAGCATCTCACCCATTGCCTCAAAGCCAGCTCCAACTGTGCGGAGCACAGCCCATCAGAATGATGCAGTAGACTCTACCAGACTATATCGGATGGGTGCCCCCAAGACAAGCAGTGAATCTGCATTTTCAGTGGCTCTAGTGTCTGTGACACAATGTCTCTGGTTAAAGCATGAGCAGCAATGTCTCTGCACTCTGCATTTGTCAGGAGTTCGTGCAATTGTTTCATGAGCAATGGTCACAGTGGGTAGCCCTTGTACCCCAGTAACCAGCCTTATAAGGCAGCTGGACCCTTATATGCACTAGGTATATTACAGTGCTCCAAGATCTAGGAGTCATGGCAGATGCCAGGGTAGCAGGTACACATCTCTCGGAAGTGGTGATGATGATCACAGATCTCCTGCACATTAACTGAATCTTGATAAATTGCTTAGTGTTGTGATACGGCCCCCCAGTGCCACGTGCGTGCATTCAATGATACCCTGCACCTGGGAGCCTGCAGCACTGGCCCCGTCATCAGTCACTGACCTAATGTATTTGTAGATGGATGACTGAGAGATCCCACACAGGTCACCTGCTGCTCTCTGGAAGCGGCCAGTCACAAGGTTGTAATGGTAGGGGATTTTAACTTTCAAACATAGACTGCGACTGCTTAGATAGAGAGGAATTTGTTAAGTGTCTTCGTAACAATTTTCTTTATCAATATGTAGAATTAGCGCCAGAGAAGGAGCAAAACCCAACTTTCTTTTGGGATATAAAGCAGGGCAAGTGACTGAGGTGTGAGTGGGGGAGTTCTCTGTATGTAATTCTATTAATTTTAAACTAATTATGGAAAAGGATAGAACTGATCAAAAAGTTAAAGTTCTAAATTGGAGCAAGGCCAATTTTAACGGTATTAGACAGGAGCTTTCAAAAGTTGATTGGGAAGGCTGTTCGCAGGTGAAGGGACAGCTGGCAAGTGGGAGGCTTTCAAAAGTGAGATAAGGAGATTTCAAGGACAGTGTGTTCCTGTTAGTGTGAAGGACAAGGTTGGTAGGAATAGGGAACATTGGATGACTAGAGATATAGATACTCCGGTCAAGAAAAAGGAGGCATGTGTCAGGTATAGACAGTTAAGATTGAATGAATCCCTTAAGGAGTATAGGGGCATACTTAAGAGGGAAATCAGGAGGGCAAAAAGGAGACATGAGATAGCCTCGGCACTTAAGGTTAAGGATCATCAAAAGAGATTCTACAAGTACATTACGGGCAAAAGAGCAACTAGGGAGAGAATAGGGCCACTTAAAGAACAACGAGGCTGTCTACATGTGGAACCACAGGAAATGGTGAGATAATAAAAAATATTCAATATCAGATTGTGGAGAAAGACATGGAAGCAAGGGAACTTGGGGAAATAAATAGTGATGTCTTGAAAAATGTCCACATTACAGAAGAAGAGGTGTTAGAGGTCTTAAAACGTGTAAAGGTAGATAAATCTCCGGGACCAGATCAAGTGTATCCCAGGACATTGTGGGAAGCTAGGGAAGAGAAATGCTGGACTACTTGTATCAAAAAGCCATGGGTCAAGTGCTAGAAGACTGGAGGGTGACTAATGTTGTGCCTTTATTTAAGAAAGCCTGGAAGGAAAAGC